AAAAGAAAAGAAAAGAAAAGAAAAGAAAAGAAAAGAAAAGAAAAGAAAAGAAAGATACAGAGGAAGCAACTTCCTCAGGAAGCCATAGGAGGCCCTGGGGCCCTCAGATAGAATCAGCCATTAAAGACGACAACAGAAGGACACCATCAGACCAGCACGGCAGAGAAGCCAGCCCATTGCACGGCTAGGACCGTTAGCCCTAGGAACTACAAGAGACACTGGAGAACACTAATATGAAACACTCAGTGCCTATCACTTCCTCAGTTTATGACTTCTAACTTGATTTCATCCCTTTTCTGTTGGCAAGTGTATATACAGTAGTGACCATACAACCATGATCATCATCTATAGTCTTGGGGTAAGAGCTTGAGATATCAAGAGGGCCAAGCCAATGAGAGACGACAAACGTCTTTATCCAAAGGATTCCATGAACTAAAATGCAGATGTTACATACTGTGGAGAAGTTACAAAACCCATCGTAGGCAAGGCTCGTAAGTAGAACTTACATTTAGGCATGCAATTGTGTAGATCCTACACTGGAATGAAACCAAATGGTTTCACTATGCAAGCGTTATACCGAAATGTGATTTCTGCCACTGGTGCTCATCACCAGGGAACAACAGCACCCTGGGACAGGAAATGAGAGAGAACAGTTGATGCCAACAAGGCATGACATCTCAGCTCTTCTTATACGGATATCTTGTCATCTAAACTTTCATTAATTCAACATTTCACCAGATGTGCCTACCACTGTGCCTACACAAGCCAAAATTAATCCCTGTAATAAATCCCTTGAAGAATCTGCAATCTAGCAGGGTGGAAAGAAAGAAACACCCAGCAGCTGTAAAAGAAGGCAATCTCAACTACAGCTTAGAGGCTATATAGGCAGCCTCTAGACACAGGTCCCAGGACTCTTTCCTAAAGAAGGTAAACGATGACCTTGAGGGACGGATAGCACCTTTCTGCAGACACAGACCACCGGAGATAGAACAGCCTAAGTAAGAGGGTGCAGGGAGAAGAACGTGGACTCAGGAAACAACAGCATTACAGTCCGGGGACAGATGTGGCTGTGTGAGGGCTGGGAAGGATCGCTATCTCTTCAATTAGACTTTAAGTCAAGGACAGAGCACTTTTCTTCTTCCGTATTACCCGAGACCTAATCCTCTATGTGTGGTAGGCTCTAAATTATCTTCACTAAATAAATAAGAAAATTAACCCAGAGAGGAAAAAAAGTGAAATAAATTCACTTCGAAGTTGCTGATGTTCTTGGATTGTGTAATAATTTGGGTCATAGTAGAAGTGTGCACACCCTCAGTTATAGGGAGATACTTGTACCAATCACCTCACTAACAGTACAGGAGCATGTAAGGAAAGTGCACATGGCCAAGAGTGGGTAGGGGTGGCACAAACACGTGTCAATCTGCACATTTGGAAGGCTGCTGGAGACAGTTGTTGGGCCCAATACTCTGGATGCTAGAAAAAGGAGAAAACTGATCTATAAATCAATCATTCTAACGCTATAATCGCCAATGCAGAGCTAAGACTCTTGTGGTGTCATTCCAGAAAGCTATCGGTACCTAGAAATACAACTGTTTTCTGTTTTCATTTTTTAGAAATACATCCAGTGAGTATTTAAAATATTATTTTTAATTGATCATGAGGGAGTTGTAGCATGGTACTGTATTAAAAAAAAACACACTACGTCAGGAGTCAAGAAACTGAATTCTGCTCTGCCACTAGCTTGCTGTGAAGCTGCAGACAAGAAGAAGCTTAACATTCCTGAGCCTCTCCTGGTATCCCCGTGTCTTACACCTTCTCAGAGCCTTACTCTCTGCACTTACATCTGCTGCTAACATGTAGATCCCCCTTACCACTTTCACCGGCCTTTTGGCTAATGATACCTAAGATACCTTCAGTTTCTAAAACGTCCTCTGGTGCTTTTTTATGACGTCATCTTCAGGTTTGTGGTCAAAGCCTTGAGGAAAGCATCTTCTTAAATGAATCTAGCAACACACAGTTTCCAAAAGCCACTTTGAAAGCATTAGTCATTAGTACAACATAATTAGCAAACAGTTAAGGATTAGAACACAGAAATCAAACATTTAAAGAGCTCAGGGATTGCCCAATCATAGCACATATATTTGTCTTATATATATTTTGTTAGGCATCATAAGTCCCTTACAAATCACATATAAACACTCTTAAATATGTATACAAATGGGTACGTGTGCTCACACACACACACACACACATACAGTCTAAAGATTACTCTGAAGACAAAAGGACAGCTATTTATGAAGCTTCATCGAAGATCTAAAGCCCACTACTTTAAATGCAGTAGCACCTGTAGCAACAAGCTTGAAATTCACAAGTTAGTGTGAATTTCACCCTTATATTTTTATCAAGGACGCCTGCCTAGTAAACACAGTAAGCTTAATTCCTACTTATCAGCATTTAGTGATTTCTTTAGGCTAATCCATGGCTATTGTTCACAGAGCTCTAATGCAGAGATCTGGTTCTCTGTAGTATTTAGATATTTTATTTTTATAATTCTGTATTATCTATTAAATATGTACTCAGGCATACCCATATATTCAGACTCATATACATATACCCACAGAAACCTACTCTAAGTAAATATCCAAGAAGACATATCCCTAATACGGGCAGGGGAGAAAGAGAGGAAGGTCATTCCATTTATAAACAGTTATGTTTATAAACTGTTAGGAACACTCAACACGTAAGCACTATCAACCAAAACCTAACCGTTAGAATAGTCTCTTGTACATTTTGTTTTGAGTTATTTTCCCTCCATTCTGGTCTACCTCTGCCAACAACAGAAGCCAGATGACATGACTAAGTGACATCAGCTCTCAGTATTTCTGATGGGCAACTTAAAGATCTATGACGACTGACATAACTCCTCTGTCACCAGGACCCAAGAGCAATCACACTAAAAGCAAGATCTGTTTTTGCACAACTGGGGCAGAAAAGAGAGAGAGAGAGACAGACAGAGCTGGGAGTCTTACTGCACCAAATGTGAATGATTAGTGTGTAATGCAATGCTGATGTTAATTTTTAAGAAGAAAGGTAAAGCAAGCGGCTTACTAGAATGTAGTAATAAAGAGACATGTCGCAAGAGGAACTGGAGCTAAAAGTGAATCAGACGTGAATTCTGTCTGCCCAATGAGCCGCTCAGTGACCTTGCCTTATACCCACCAATCAAGGCTTCCTGTTAGCCCTGGGCAATTTTCAGGCAAACTGAATGAAATAGTTATACATGTAAGAAATTTAAGCCCAAATCTGAGACGGTAAGACTAATCTTCTAATAGTGAGGGTGTGAGGTTATCCCCTGCACTAGCCGGGCACAACACAGAAACTCATAACAAACATTCTCCCGGAGAACATAGTCGTTACCATCCACTATGTTGCACACTGACATCGCCAAGAAGTGCAACATCAGCAGAAACTTCCCCCAGGTTTTATCCCAAAGTTACTGAACGTTGGAATTTTTTTTTTTTTTTAATCAAAAAGGTCAGTCTCTTCACATCTTGATTCTTTAATAATAAGCCATTTCACAGCCCAGGAGTATTGAAGTGAGTACATCTCGTGTGGTAGCCCCTCACCCCCAGCCTGCCGGACTGTGTGCAAGTGAAACCTAGGAGTCTGTCTTACCTGTAATCTGACTCTGTCCTTGTGGATTAAAAGGACTTGGTGCAGAGTTCAGGGAGGGCCGTGGGTTCTGAGGCGGGACACCTACTCTCATACTGGGATGAGGAATGCGCCCTAAATCACTGAGGCGGTCAGAGAACAAACTAGGTTTAGAGTCATCAAGCTTCTGTCTGTGCCCTGGAAACAGCAAATCATAAAATAAAAGCATATTAATGAGCTGAACAATTGACCATACTAAATAGATATGTGAACATACATACTGGGGGTTTAAAGCCAAGGGATTATCAATACTGGTATTTATAAGGAAGTATCTCTACAATGCCTTCCATTTCTAGTGGCTTTCTAAGCATCATCTGGTGTGGAGCATTCCTAGTTCTGTGCTACAAAAGGAGAGCTGAGGGTCCCCGAGGGTGACTCGGAGCTGACACCAGGACTGGCACTCAGGAAGGGCTGTCTGCGTGCCTCGTCCAACCCCCTGGGCGAGGGTGGGAAAGGTGAATGTGTTCTGGGCTATGTTCGCTTACTTCGTGGAGGAAACTTCCCGCAAGTTCAGAGTCTGTGCATGTCACACATATTATCCCAAAACTGGGGCAGAAACAGAGACAAACATTTGTCAAGGGGCAATTCCCATGATAACCATAGTGACTTTTCTTTTCCATGTTACAACCAGACCTCACTGAGACTCTCCTGAAAAATTAAAACTCAAACCTAGAACCCCTTTCAGAGGAAAAAGTGGAAATACGGTCAAGGAAATGCAGATTCTCAAGAGGAATCTGGGTATTTTGTGACACCCCCAAAACCTCAAAGCATGTAATAAACTATGTGAAATCTGACAGAATGCTTTCTTCTATTTTAAATCTAGTACTACGGTTCTGTATAAGAAATGGCAAAACACCCTCTGGGTTACCACGTGAATGTGAGATTCCACTATTAACACAAAACAAAACATAACTTTGTTTCGCCTCTAGTTTATTCAAGTCTCAAATCAAAGGAAATTCTAGATAATAAGGAAATACGCCCGCTAAAATATAACTCAGGTTCTAAGGCTTTTTGAAAATCATGAAATCATTTGCAGCAAAGAGTGGAGTATGGGCTTGGTGCAAGTGTAACAGAACAGCGTGTGAGACTTGGTGCCATGTAAGTTAAGTGTACATCTGCAGAGTGGTGCCGAGGTGAACGAGCAGGGTAATGCCTCATACATGAACAGAAACATACTGTAGATTCCTTTTTCCATATTCTGTACCAGAATGAGGCCTGAGTATGTCGCCCTAACATACTGTAACTGAAACCGAAGCAGATTCAAAGAAGAGCCATTAAGATGATGACTGGGGGCGCCTGGGTGGCTCAATCAGTTAAGCCTCCAACTTCGGCTCAGGTCAGGATCTCACGGTTCGTGAGTTCGAGCCCCGTGTCGGGATCTGTGCTGACAGCTCAGAGCCTGCAGCCTGCTCCGGATTCTGTGTCTCCCTCTTTCTCTGCCCCTCCCCTGTTCACGCTGTCTCTCTCCCTCTCTCAAAAATAAATAAACATTAAAAAAATTTTTTTTAAGATGATGATTAGAATCAGAATTTGCCCTTTGAAGAAAAATTAAGGAAACTAGGATTATTACCCACAAAAGAAGAAAACCTTGAAGGAGGATTATTAAGAGCTTTCAAGAATCAGGAGGTATATTCTATGGGTAGCGAGAATACCTCATCTTCCTCTCGGTACAAGAGGACAAGAGGAATATATCAGGATAGGGTTAAGTTGAACATTAGAATTTCCCAACTATACGCTGTCTTCATAAGACAAATTCCTTATTTTATTTGCCCCAAAATGTATTTTCCTGTCTCCTTTTTCATTGCCTACCCAGCCCAAAGAAAACAGACAGGAAGCCAAGGCTTGGTAATATGAGTTTAGCTGTCTCCACAGCCAAACATATTCCAAATAGGCCCATTAACTGAAATGGACCCACCACCCTATTTCCTGCCAGTTGGGGCATCTGCTATAATGAGGGACTAAGACCAGGAGAAAAGTGATCAGGAAAATTCTCTGTGCGTGGATGGGTGTTTTCCTTGTTGTTCAGAACTTCTTATCCGGATTATGAACAGATTTTAGAACTCTACAGGGCCTTTAGAGATTGGCCCAAACAGCTCCTGGAGCCCAGCAAGCACGGTATTCACAGACAAAGCGACGAAGGCCTACAGAGGTACCACCACTAGCCTGTGGTCTTCAGCTATTGGCTGGTTTGGCCTGGAAGAGGATCACAGTTCTCATCCTAGCTGACAACGCTTTCCACTCATCACGTGGCCCCATCAATGCTGGCATTCTAGATTTATCTTCCCTTCCACTCACAGCTGCTGTGGTGGACTGAAAATATCCAGATCAACAGAAAGAGACACCTACGAGCTAAGCCCCACGTGGTACCACAGCTGGTTTTCAACGCAAGCAGAAGCAGCAGCAAGGATCCAATTACAAAGTTAATAGCTCACCCATTACCCTAAACAAACTTCCATCAATACATCTTGCTGTGTCTAACTAGTTTGACAATTAGGGAATTATACAGTACTTGTCACAGTTGGATCCATGGATTCTGTTCCTCACATACATACAAAAAAAAAAAAAAAAGCATTGGTGTGGTGTTGATACAGCTGTAAACATTAACAAGAAAGCTTATGGAATTGTCCCTGGAAGTTATTTTTTTTAATAGGCCATATTTTTGGAATGGCAGATTCCCTGAGGGCTAAGGGGAGGGCTACACGATCTTGCCCGGTTCCTTTAAACACTGGGACTTTATGTGGGCTATGGGTCGCAAGAAAACTTAATAAAGCTTTGCCTCCGCTTTCTACAGCCTTTTCATTAGGCTTTCATGGAGACTGTAGGAGATGTGAGCTCAGCATTTGGACGTGTCAGTTCACTTTGTATTTTCTCTTAGCCCAGTGCTTCGGGGGGGAATCGTAGGAAGTTGGAGGCAAGAATACAGAGAGGACTCGCAGCATCGCTGATCAGTATGAAAACTGGAGGAGCAGGTGAAATTTTAAAAGCCTCAATGGCCTTCTGGAAATCACCTTCACATGAGAGCTACCAAGGATCTACAGACACCCAGAGTAATTCAGGGAGCACCTATCTGTGGCTGCACATGTACAAAAACACATACACGTTTCTCCTTGCAGATGCCTGCCCCTTTGTAGCTACCACCACAACCACAACAAAATTCTTACAGGACGATGAAGAACAAAAGCTGAACAGGTTCTTCATCTTTCAACCATGACAAATACCGGCTACCGCTAAACCACATCAGGGTTAACATGCGAACGATGGGCTGCAAGAAGACGTACTGAAATCCTCCACACTCAGGCAGTCCCTTAAGAAATCGAGAACACGGAAGACAAGGGCACATCGAGTTAAAGCAAAGACAGGGTCCTCTGCCGTGGTACGGGGAGAGCTGAGCCTCATCCAAAGGGCCAAAGAGCGGGTCCTCCAAATAGGAGGAAAGCATAAAGAATGCAAAACTGTTGTGTTCTATTTGAGACTGTGTGAAAGCTCGGTCACGGATCGTCTTCTCTACCTGTACTTTCTCCGTCGAGCAGTGGTTCCTCCACTCCAGCAGGATTAAGAAAACCCTTCAGGGAGCTTTGAAAAATATAGATGTCCAGAACGCACATCAGCTCCATTAGATCGGAATCTCTGAGAGCGGGTCCTGGGGAGTTCTTTTGTAAGATCACTCACAATCCAATGGGCAACTGAGGTAGAGAACCACTGCCCAAGGTGACCTCACAATCTCATGCACTCGGTGCCACCTATTTGTGCCGGGGACTCCCCATTTCTGAGGTAAGCCCTGACTTCTGTCCTGAGTTCCAGGTCTGTGTGTCCCACTGTCTACCTGACTCTCCCCTAGGATGTCTACAAGATATTTAAATGTGGTATACTTAAAACAGAATTCTTGACTCTTCTCACCAGCGAACCCCATTCCCCTCTCAGAGTACCCTCATCTCAGTAAGTGGTTCCAGCCACTCCGTCACTGCAGCCAAAAACCTAAACATTTCCCTTGATTTCCCCTTACCCCTCACGCCCCACATTCGATCTATTACCACATCTCGTCATTTCCGTCTTGAAAGTGTATCTCAAATCCATTCAGTTCTCTCATTTCTACTGATACAGCCCTAGTCCAGGACCCCACCACCTTTCCCTGGGCATCTGACACTGAATCCTTTGAGTTTCCCATCCCAGGACCTCTCCATACTCCTGAAATACTCTCCCCCTATTTCTTTGCCCACTCCTTCTTATCCCTTAGGCCTCACAGTGAACACCACCTCCTTTGAGAGGTCTTGTCTGCCACAATAACCAGAGTAGGTCCCCTCCTTCTAGAGCACACCCTCCATTTATTTCCTTTATGGCTATTACCACAATCTGTACTTATCTCGCGTACTTATTTGTCTCGCCTGCAAGATATGAACCCCGTGAGAATAAGTGCTCTGTCTTGTTTAAAGTTGGATCTCTACAACCTAGTCCAGTGCCTACCATATAGTAGGTGCTCAACAAATATTTAGGCAATGAATGAATGAACGTGAATAGTCTCTCCTCTTTTAGATAAACGTCCAGGTTGAGAAAAAATTTTCTGCCCCGGCATATCATATTACAATGCTATCTTTCCCCCCCAAAAAACCCTTCTCTTATCTGATAACCTAGGGAATCCAGCGGGCAAAGCCTTTCTTTAGAGCCTAGCCCTTCTTGGTGCTTGCTCAGAAATTTCCCTAAAGGACGTGCATTTTAAGGGAATGCCCGATTGCTTCCTTGCTTTCTGAAAAAGTCCCGTTTGCTCTCATTATAATTCTTCAGCATTGTTGCAAGTCATTTAGAATCAAAGAGCTGAAAAGGACAAGAGAAGTCATTTTGACTCTAAATTTCTGAGTGACGTACTTCTTTTATGAATGAGGACCCTGAATCCCTGAGAGGGGAGGCGACTTGCCCAAAGCCACACAGTTAGCGGCAGGACTAGAACTCGGGATTTCTGATTGCTGGCCCCACGCTCTTTTCCCTCCCGTGGCCAACGAGCTTATTTTAGATTAGAACACTACAGCATCGGTCGCTCAGGGGAAATCACGGTCAAAGTGAATTTAAAATGGAAGAAAAAAAATAGTTTTCAGAACAAATTTCTTTCAAAACGTTGAGTGTGTTTGGCTGACCAGGACTCTTGT